AACGCTTATAATGGGTGGCAGGATTGGGTTCCGCCCACAATGGGCGGGGTTTGGGCAGAAATTCATATCTCCTGTCCCTGTGTACCTAGAAAGTTCAAACTTGGTAGAAATACAGGCGGCAGCATAAAACGTTCATGGTGGGTGGCAGGATCGGACTCCGCCTACAAGGGGCGAGGTTTGTGTGAAAAAGTTAAACTTGGACCTAGAGCGTTCAAATTTGGTAGGAGTACAGATGGCAGGATAGGAACACTAATGGTGGGTGGCGGGGCCGGACTCCACCCACAGGGGGCGGGGTTTGTGCGGAAAATCACAACTCCAGTCCCCGTGGTCCCAGAGCGTCCAAATTTGGTAGGAGTACCCCAGATAGGATGGGAACGCTTATAATGTGTAGCAGGATTGGGCCCCGCCTACAAGGGGCGAGGTTTGTGTAAAAAGCTAAACTTGGACCTAGAGCGTTGGTCCAAATTTGGTAGGAGTGCAGGCGGGAAGGTAGCAACACTTATGGTGGGTCGCAAGACTGGACTCCACCCACATGGGGCGGGGTTTGTGCGAAAAATTTAAAATTGGACTGAGAGCGCTCATATTTGATAGAAACACAAGCGGCAAGATGGGAGTGCCTATGTCGGGCGGCACGACTCAACTTCGCTCACAGGAGGCGGGGCGTGAGCAAAAAATGTTAATGTAAACTTGAAGCGAAATTTCGAAACCAAGGTTGAATAAGTCGCAAATAAATCGGGTTACTCAAACACACAGAGCCTAAGGAAGACTGTTCATGCGGACGAGGCGCGCACGGATTGTGTTGGATGTTTGTGTCTGGCCGGGAATGAATAACTCCTCTTTCACCTTCCGAAGCCTCCCAATTTGATAAATGTGCAGGCGGGGAGGCCATTCTGACACGAGAAGGAGGGGTGCGTAGTGTGCATATCGTTTTGAATTTCACCGTGAATATAGAGGATTGACAGAATAAAGTCTCTGGAGTTGTTCGATCCTGCCTTTGGGATGCGCCCCGCACTCGATTACAAATAGTGGTTGTAGAATGCGTAGGCGTCAGCCGGGCGAGCCGATTGGCGCATAGCAAATTTCCCACAGAAAGGAGCGCCCGGCGAAGCCGGGCGTCACCATAAGAAGGAGGGAAGCCCGGCGTTAGCCGAGCAGCCCGAATGGTGCATGCCATAAGTGGGACTGTGCTTGATTCAGAAAACTCACACAGACCTTCTGTTACCTCGCCTTTTTCTATCCACTCATTGTCCCTGAGCTGGAATCCAGTTATTAATTTTTAGGTGTGTTTATTTGGAAATATCCCTCCGATAGCGGATCAATTTCAATATCAGGCTCTGCCCTGCCCCTTGACATGTTGCTTCTTCGTCTCCATTTCCCATTTTTTGGCATGCTCCGAAACTGCCTGAGAAGAAATTCCTAAGTGAATCGTCTATCTCCACCTATGTCCCACCCATCCCAAACTTGATCATGTTCCTTTTTAAGCGTTGTACACAGCTCCTTCCTCTGCTCATACAGGCTTTTCAGCTTTCTCGAATGCAAACTTTTTTATAGGAAAAATCTCTTTCGCACTTAAGAACAGCTGAAAAATCGTCTTATTTCCCGTCCCACACATCCCAGACGTAGTCCGGCTAAGACCATGCGTAGCTTCGTTTACGGGCGTACATATCTCAACTTCGGTCGGCAACCTCGGGTAAATTCTAGGACTTACAAACACATCAACAATCTAGTTTATATAGAAAAAAGATAATAAAGCAAGCCATAACCGAAATCCGTACCTGTGAATGCCTAACGACATTCAGCGGTACAGGGTCGGCTAAAACGATGACGCTACCATTTTCCTAATCAAATTACTGTTAAATTAGTGAATGTGTATAAAACAAGTAAAATAAGTTCCCACGAAATGACTGAACCACTAAATTGAAAATTGATCGAATTGAATTAAATCTCCGCAGAAGTTTAGAATTGATGAAAGATTTAGAACAGGAAAGTATTAAGAGACTCAAATCATCCTCTGCTTCTTGAGGGTCATGAGAAAGACTCTTCGATCGGGAATGTGGTGACGGCGAAAGGAGCGATGTTGAGCTCGCCTAAAATGCAGTGATGAGCACTTGGAAGAAAGTTTTACGTAACCGAACCATGTTACTGTATAAATCGTGTCAAAAATACAGGCCCACTTTGTTAACTTCGGATTCCCCCTCGAAAATAATGTTCTAGTCACCTCGTTGCAGACGATCATGAACGCAATTTTTTTCTCTTGACTGCAGCTACTATCAATTCTTGTACTCCTCTGAAACAAAACCAGCCCTTTCATGTATGAGAACTCAATCGAACTGTGCAGCCATTTAGCGGCACGATGAGAAAAATCTAGAGCTGGCACAATCTGCATTGTTCTGTTTATCTTGGAACGCTGACCGTTTTTGTCATGAAGGCTGATGAGAGGAAATGTATGTACAGAAACGATAAAGTAGTATCAGCGATCTTAGTCAACGTGGAATCATCAAACATGGCGTCGACCCAAAAGAAGATGCGAACAGACAGAGAATTGAGGTCAAGGTAATACAAAATTAAAGGTTGAAAGGCACAGCACATAGAATGGACCATCATCAAACACATTCGCAAAACCGGCACATCTGCGGCGCCGTCCGTCCACTAGGTCCGGACAATTGAAGGTAATCAGGGAAACGGGTAAAAGCTACCTCGTTAGTAAAACAGCACAAGCAGAATAATGGTAAAGTCTGCTCACCCTGAAGCAGAGGGACGTGCAATGTTCGTAAAATGTACAGAATAGCTATAGGAGTATGTACAGGTGAAATGGGACGGGACGAGTCACGTGAGCTAGCAGCTGAGACTGCAAAGTTAAATGGCGGTACACAACACGGAAGGTCAGGCTCACAAGGATACTCGCCAAGAAAGCGTGAAACTATGGTGCATCTCCGGCTTCCATTCGAAACAGATAAAGTTAGCGTAGAAATCCGAAAATGCACTGCACGAGCGGATTCGGTGTCTTGTTTAACAGCGGACATATCAACATATCTCATCCAAAATAGGCTTTATTATCGTGCATGTACGAAGCGTAACGGGGTCATTTGCCAGCTCGGAAGCGAGGATATTGCAAACAGCCAGGGACGGTGTATCAACCTCATAGATCAACCTGTGGAAGGACGCGAAGCATATGCGTCGCAGAGCTCTAGCAGGTAAAAGACGTGGAAGCCTAATGACGCCGCTGGGAGGTTTCGAACGAACATCAGGTTTATGACTTTGACACTGTATGTGAAATCCTAACCTACAAGAATGAGATCGGTGCTAGTAAGATATTGGAAGCGTGGCTTCGGTGACTGGGGACCGTCCTACTCTGAAGACTAAGGACTGCTCTAAAGAGCGGAGTCTGATAAAGGCCCCAGCACTTCAATAAGTATGTTTTTAAGGTCCGAGTTCTTGTGAATTTTCGCCCCGGTACTATGAGACAAACAATGAGCACGCTACTTCCTCCCCAAACTATGATACTGTTGTTCTTATAAGAACATTTGCGCGAGGAAGGGCTTTTCTGTGTCCGGCCAGAACGCAATCTCCTCGTTTGTCAAGGATTGGCTCTATCATGAAATTTTTCTTGTCAAACGATGGAGGGACGCTTGTCTAGGCTCAAGCAATCTAGCAACCTTCTGCATTTCTTGATTCTAAAGTGTCTGTTGGAATCGGAAAAGAAGTGACACTTTCGCATGCGATAGGATGGGTGAAGAAACGTTTCCCTGACAATCTGTACCATCGATAACTTCGACAGACCAATTCTATATCGGCTCGTGGATGACTGTTTTCTCAGGCTCATCCTTGGGAAAAATAGCTTTTTCATCCAATCCGGGTTTGTCTTAAAGCGCTCCTGCTCCTCTGTATCTTTTAACCCATTGACAATCGCGTTGCAGGGGCCGCAGCAGCATTCCGCGAAAAGCGCGCTCGCCAGAAACGCTCACTAGCAGCGGTTGCCAATGGGTTAATTGCCTTCTCTAAGGTATTCATTGGAATGACATGAAGTTTCAAATGTCCTTCCACCTCCTTCATGTATTGAATTATCGCATGTGGCATAAGCTTTCACCACCTCAAAGATTTTAAAAGTCTCACTTCAACACCTTTGAGATTACAAGGAAACGCTATCAATGCAACTAATCAATGGAAGGCAATATACCATTACAGAAAGGCCGTTATCGCTCATCGACAACGAAACACATTTCAGGTCGAGCGCTCTGATAACTAGCCGATCGCCAACACAGAAACCCNCCCCCCCCCCTCTCTCCTTCCCCCCGATGATGAAAAGAAGCTGTTCTGTGTTCCGGTGCTCTGTGAATGCAGGAGAGGGTTGTCAATTCCAGTCAGCGTCGAAGTATCAACTTTTCATCTCTTTCAATGCTAACTTTCTTTTGAGAACGTCTGCCAACATTTGAATTATCGTCCTGGAGTTTTTTAGCGTTCATCAATCTTACTTTTTAGAATGCGCTCCCCCTCGCATCTGACTCTCACTCAGATTTCTGTAACGTTATGCGACGCTTTTTGTGGTGTTTCAAATACGATAGTTGCCTATACGATGTCTTGCTGTGAATAGCCGATGTATAAGTCAGGGTATTCACCGTATACTTACCAGACGAGTCTGAAGCCAATTGATCAACCGGCTTGATGAGCCTGAGCCTTCTTATATATTCAACCCAATCCGCGCCACCTGGCAAGATATTGCTTCCTCCCATAAAGGGTACGGACTTTACGGGGTAATTACAGGCCTACTACTCCATGGGATTGTTTATCACTAGCAAAACAGCAGCCGAACCCTATCTGATCAGTAGATCCTTTTATACCAGTGAGAAATTTTGTTGAACATGATGAAATGTGTGCAACGATTTGAAGTCATGTCAGAGTAAAGAACAGTCTAGCTGTATAGCGCGTGCCCCATTATGCTCTTCTTTTGAGGTTAGGTCCGTAGTATCGCTGTGTAACTTCTGTCGTCACAATCCCCTTGGCATGCGGATTCAGCCAGCAAACATTCACTCCAAGCCCAGCCGACTCTCCTAGGCGGCCGCGTAAATGTTTACAAAAGTTATGAAAGTTATGAAATTGGGGCAGAGTAGCTGAAATCTGTCCTTGTTTAAGCGCAATCCAGCCGAAGAAAATTGTTGATTTGTAGACTGGCAGAAAATTCCTCAAAACTTTCAGAATAAACTCAAAGATCATGTTGCTTTTATTCATCATGCTATGCTCTTTCGAGCACGACGCTGACACACATATGTATGTACATATGCATGTTGGAATTCTTTTGGAATTACTTCATATCCAAATGGATAAATGGATGAAGAATGCTCTTGAGCAAATAAAGCAAATATAATATCCAAGAACTGCATTTTTGGAATATAGCGGGTTTGAGAAGTCTGATTGTAGGAGAAGTAAAACCTCAAAGTACACAACAAGATTGGTCACAGAGTCAGTCTGTTAGATCTGTCAAGAAAAGAGCCGACTCAAGCTTGGGGATTTAGCAAGGATGAAAATGTACGAAGCACATATGAAGTTAGCAGAGCTTCAGAGCCAAGACTGGCGTCATCAACTATACAAGCGGCGTGGTCTGCAGTAAGAAAGATTTAGAAAGTAGTGAAAAAAACAAAAAACTCGGCTTGAATGACCCTCCAGCCTTGACTGACGCTCCAGAGACTTGAACATGACGCAGGTACGATGAACATGTGATTGGCCCAATTCATTGCGCTGTGGAACGGACAATGCTTAGAGTTTCCCGATAATCGAGAGCAGAGAGGAATACGGGACTGTCAACGATTGGGATCAGGGGGGTTGTTGCTCACCCCGTCGAGCATTTGAAGAACAGGTGGGCCCAGACATTTCATTCGATTTTGTGATACCAGTCTGACCAAGACGATTGCAAAGTGGATCTTTTGACGGGCCGTTGAAAGAGAGCACGATGGCCGCCATTTCGATGATCAGATCTCTACACGAGAGTTTCGATCGAATCGAAAGGAGTGGTATGAATCTAAGCAATTCCATGATCAATCGAATCTCAGGAGATATCACCAGTATTACCTGCCACCCGGTAATCATCCGCCAGTAACGACTCCATTCGTTGCTGTCGCGAGCCAGAGCAGTCCAGTGGATCCTCCTTGATTGAGGGACACGAGGCAGAGCATTCCTTTCGTTCAGAGCCTAGCGTAAAGTTCTGACCACCCGCTAGCAGCCGTACTGGGGTTGGTTTGACGTCTCAAAGGATCCAACCGAAAGACCCTTTCTCCCTACCCCCTTCCCCCTAATACAACGGTCACTATAATACCACATAATGTGTACAGCCCTGCCCATATTTGATTTCTTGAAGTAGGCAACGGTATCCTTGATCTTCATCCACTGACGGAGCACGGGGTTGCGAAATCCCTCCTACACTTGCGTGTGTAGGCAAATTCCGAGCATCATCTTCTCTACAGCGCGTTGAATAAAGCTGTATGTCAGTAGTATCGGAAAATTGAGCGCCGAGCCAGAATTCTTTGTCTTCTTCACTACTCCCTCAGTGTTGTTGAACGCTCCCTGCCAACAGGCGCTCCCGTCTACTCAGCTCCGGATCTGGGTCATTCATCATGTTGAGCTCCCAACCTCGATACGCATAGCTGGAACAGTATGAGATTCTTTTTGTGTAGAGGGAACACCAGATACCAATCCGGTAAGCATCGTCTTCGCTAGATTTACTTAGTCGTCAGCCGATCCTTCCATAAGTGTTGTCGATTTCAGCCAGCATTCGTTCCGCCTACTCGATCTTCACTGTTATGAGCACGATGTCGTCGCAAAGCAGAAGTGATGTAAGCAGAAGGCCGTGTGCCTTTACCCCATGTCTTCCAATTTGAGCTGGCGCATGGTGTTCTCGAGAGCAGCACGGAAACTCCGGGGCAGGAGGGATCGTCTTATCGAGCCCCCTCTCAGCACGCTTAATATGAATTCTTTATAGGTTGGCGAAACCCAGGTCATCAGGTTGTTGTGAGGTTATGAAGCGCCTTATATAGCGAGTAGGACGACCTTGGTCGCCCAAGACTTCAATTACCGCTTCTGTCTCTATGGCAACAAAGACCCTCTTGAAATGTACGATGAAGCGATGAACGTAAGACAACAGCATCCTGTACTCTTGTCAAGAGGTATGTATAGTAGATCTTATGGTGACGTATTCAAGTGCATTATTCGGTCATTCTCCAGAGAGATGCCAGATTACGCATGCTCACATTAGTTCGGTGATCCGTATCAATGACAGTCTGGTTATTAGATACGTAATGGAGCAGTAGCCACGCGCCACATTACGTATATGAATACTAAAGAGAAGAAAATATTCGACATAATTGCTTTCTTCCCACGATGGAACCTAGCCGCAATGCTCTTCTATCACCTCCGCGAGAGCCGACTACCCCAGCTATCACGCCGACGAATCATAGACCGAATCGAGCAAAGATGATTCATTCGCCGCCAAGGGCATTTCCAATGCTCAGCACATGAAATTCGTGTTTTCTGTCTTTCGTGGTTAAGCAGTAGACAAAAAGTCGAGGCGAATTCTCGAGACACTTCTTAATGGTATCTGCCTCACCGAACAAGGTACTCCTCGTTCGTCCTAGTTCATTCTGCGTTATCTGCGTTCTAGTGTCGGGGTCATTCCTCCTCAATATACACTTGGTACGGCTAACCGAATGAGGTGATTTTGAATCCAAACAACTAAAAAGTAGCAATATACATGAAAGATGATTTTGATAGAGCGTTTATCTCTTGAACAATCCACCTTGAAATTTTGTATCATTCAACAATCAGACCGTTCACAACCAAGTTCATTTCTTCTAACAGATGACCGCAATTTTGCCGGACAACAAAATATACCTGACAAGAGTGCATTCTCGAAGAGATGTGACCGAGCCAGTGCTGCTGCAAAGAAACGGCGTCATTGAACGACTTGTTACACAACGCGCAGGGCAGACACAACTGCTACAATAGATGAGTAAGAGTAATCGGTGCTCCTTCCAATTACCATAGCAAATTTACAAAAGCTTATGAAAATGCAGTCCATCTTTCGGCGTTCTCACCTCATCTTCCCGAATTCTTTTCAGATCAGAAGCAGACTCAAGTTGTGATAGATCAATGCTAAACGGTCATTCTTTGAAAGTGGATAGCAAGGGTGAATATTACAGGGTGGGCCAAAATTATGATTACACAGAAATCACATCGCAGAAAACGAATAGAAAGCCAATAGAGCAAACCAATTCCATTGAAGGGTCTAGCACAAATTTCTTATCACAACTGTACTCTGTTGCTTTCTGCTTTCACCCAACCCCAAAGACGACGATGGACGGCATTGACGGTGGCACGCAGCTAGGGTCATCGAAATGGTTCCGGCTTTTTGCTAAGCATTTTCGAGATTATTTCTTCTCTTGTTTGGGCTAAAGGATGCTTTCATCTCAGAGGCTGACCACATTGAAACATTCATGGGATTTAGATCAGGGCTCCAGAGTGGTCACTGATCGAAGGTTATGAAGTCAAAGAACCCCTTTCACGGAATTTCTCGACAATTTCTGTTCTGCGGTCAGGAGCTTCATCTTGACAATATGACCGGTTCGAATCACCAAAGTGTCCTATTGCGCACGAAGAGATCAAATAGGCCTCCAAACCAATTTCCACTCCATAATTTACAATAACAATCGGTGTCTTTGCCTCGGCGGTGATGCTGGTATAGGTCATCACAGAAAGTTAGTGAGCCAGGCGCTGTATCACTTTCATTTCTTTAAGCTTCATATAAATGTTATCGCTCTACTTATTGAGCACCTATTTCACAGTGAATCTTTTCTCGTCGGTGAACAGGAATTCCGTAGGACAATTTTTTCGGATGCGACGGCAGCTTTTGTTAGCCAACCTTTCTCTTCTCTTTAACCTGCTCTCTGGGTAAATCCCTTTCTGATCGTATAACGGTCTCGTTGTGCAGGGGATGCTTCACGATTTCACGCAGAAAATTTCGTGACATATCCATTCATTTATCCTTTTTGGACTCGGAATGAATTTTGCTCCTACGTAGACCTTTGCTCTGCTTTCTTGACACTTCCCCTAAATATAACCATAGCTCTCCTAGGTTCACCACTCCTATCTGCAATTGTTCCCAACTCTCGAGGGCATCTTATGGTTAATGCAATACCTGTTTTGTTTCGCTAATTCGTCTGTAGATGCACCGTGCTAAAAGTGTTTGTAAATGCAAAGCTACGTTTAATTCACGGACTAGTTACGCGTACATTATGTCAGAAATCTACCCAAAGTTTAGTATCATTAGAAAGGTAATAACGTATGCTACTTTGTGAAATGGAAGAAATTCAATGAATTGTTATGAACATAGAAAAAATTTGCAATGAACGTCAGCGCGCGCTGTAATCATAATTTTGGCCCACCCTGTATACTTTGCTGGAAGTTGCTTTTTCCTACCTCGGCCACGAAGAGTCACTCTCATCAGACAGGGGAGAGCCACGTTGATCTGAGATGTCTTCAGTAAATCGGCTTGCTAACACAGAAGTCACCGATGACGCCGAGTCGTCTTCGCGATGCTCTGAGAAGAAATGGACACATATTCTCAACATTACAGATGAATACAACAGCTAAGAAAAACCTGAGCTAAGTGTCGCATCGGCACAGCGTTGATAATGAGCAACAATATGATGTTGCAGGCTCTCCTTGTTTGGATATACCTTGTCGCAGTTCAATTTAGGACACTTTAAATCTTTTCCATCTCGAACCGAAATATGGTCGGTGTACAAATGCACCTATAAATACCTATAAGTATTCGCACGCTCAGTCCTTTTGAAATGAGAATATTTACAACCAGGCGGCTACGCACGCCCTCGCGCGCGCTAGGGGCTCTAACCATAAGAGACGGAGCCGCGTGAGCTGATTTTCATTATGGACCTTTATCGGATTTATGAGTTTCCGCTCAAACATCGCCTCCTGTGGGCGGAGTCTGGTCCTGCCACTCACCATGAGTGTTCCCATCCTGTCGCCTGTACTCCTACCAAGTTTGAACTTTCTAGGTCCATGGGGACATGAG